CCTGAGGCCAGGTGTGTGTACCTAGCATGGTTGCCATAGATTAGCAGACAAGCTTCAACTTTTTAACAAGTTGTGATGGTGATAACGTGTCAAAGTTCTCAGTTTTTATGGGAAAAAATGAGATATGTCAGATATGAGTTATGTATTTGCTTTACTATGCATGTTATTTAAGCAGAGTCTTACTGGAGAGCTGTTAAGTCCAGTTCTAATATGATCAGTTTGAATGGCTTCTGCTTATGTTTATTCTATCCACTCTAAATGTTGAGGTATCTGAAAGCTAAGTTTAATTCCTTCCTCTGTATGTGGGGGACATGGGATGACTCTGTTCATGGTGACTGTAACTGGTTAATATTATGGGAAGTGGTCTTGTTTCCTAATTACTTGTCTGCTTGTGCTTGCTGAGCTTATCATCATCAGCACAGTCTGAGAATCACACAGAATCACACAGAATCACAGAATGTTAGAGATGGGAAGGGACCTCTAAAGATCATCCAGTCCCATCCCCCTGCCGGAGCAGGACACCCAGATCAGATCCCACAGGAACACATCCAGGCGGGCTTTGAATGTCTCCAGAGAAGGAGACTCCACACCCTCTCTGGGCAGCCTGTTCCAGTGCTCTGTCACCCTCACCGGGAAGAAGTTTTTCCTCATATTCAAGTGGAACCTCCTATGTTCCAGCTTGAACCCATTGCCCCTTGTCCTGTCACTGGATGTCACAGAGAAGAGCCTGGCTCCATCCTCCTGACACTCACCCTTCACGTATTTATAAACATTGATTAGGTCACTCCTCAGTCTCCTCTGGGGAGTTCACTGGTGGTTGCTGGTAGTTAGTGGCATGTTAGATTTAGGGCTCGTGTTGAAAATTCTTAGGTAGTTGCTGTACTCTTGTACCCAGTACACAGGGCTGAATTAATTGATCAAGGAAACAGATTCATTATACAAAAGAAAAATTGCCATGAGAAGCGGAACTTCAGCAGAAGAAACATTACTTCTTTTTACAGGATGTGTAAAACTGGAGTGTTGCATTTAGAGCAAATATTATCCTCCCTTGGTGCTCGAAATGCCTTAGATGGAGCACAGTGGGAGAACAGGTGTCATACTTCAAAACCAGAATGGGCCAGCTTGGCAGAATTTAGAGGAAAGGAAAAATAGTTGAAATTCTAGAGAAGGGAAATGTGAAGAAAGAGTTACAAATGAGACTGCAGAGGAGATAAATGTCTCTAAGCTGAGAAAAGGTCGATTGCAAAGAAGAAGGCCACATTGTTTGCTGTGAGAACTGGACATACAGCAAAAAAAAATTTGAATTTTTGATCTTTTTGTAGGGATAATTATGTTCCTGTGTATCACAGTGATAGAATCTTCATCTGACATTTTCAGGTATAGCTGATAATTCCTCAAAGTAAGAGAACAGGTGAAATTCCTTAAGCGTTTTTCTTTGATTCTTTCAGCTGAATATCGGTGAGTGCTCTTGTGTCCTCATTGGTTGTTACCAGGAAATAACAGTTGATGTTTTTTAGCAGAACTGTCTAGATGCCCAAAATGTGCAAAATCAAAACCAGGTAGAGTGGAAATAACCAGCAAGTCCATTGACACTGCAAATGTAAAAAGGGTAAGAATTGTATGCCGAATTTAAGGCTGTAAGAAGTGTACTACCTTACTTGCTTACGTAAGAATAATGATGTGCTGGGCTACATTTTTCCTGCTTCCCTGGAATGCAGGTAGCTTTTCCAGTCAGCAGGGACAAACTGAGAATGTTATGTGGGGCTGTTATTTATCACCACATAAATGAGGAACAGTAGAGGCTGGCTTTTCTGCAGCCCATCCCGCTTACCAACAAGATACCAGCTAGTGCCAGAGACCCGCAGGTAGCAGGAAGGTGCACGTGTGCCGTTTTCTCTTCTGCAGTCCTTCACTCAGCTGCACATGTCGACCATCTACTTCCCTCTCTCGTTTCCACTGCTGCCACCTCTCTTTCGATCTGCAGGTGTTGCAGACAGAGCTTTGGATGGTGGATGCAGCACTGCAAGTCGCAGGCTGCAGGGAGTGCCTGGGTCCTCTCCCTGAGGCCAGGAGAGATGGTCTTTCCTGCAGCAGGGTGGCTGTTCTTCAAGCTGTGTCACCAGGAGGTGAGCAAACTATGCAGAATCAGAGAGGATGAGAGACAGACAGGATCTTCTCAGAGACACAGCACCTTCAAGAGCCCTGGATCCCAGATGCAGCGGAGACACAGAGTCTGCTCCTGGCAGAGAGGTAAGTGCAAACTCTGGGGAAGGTGAAGACTTCTGGCATCGGGAAAGCGTCTCCAGCTCCACCTGAAGACCTGCAACTAGGGAACTTGTTCACTGACCTCAGAGCTGAAGAGGTGCTTTCAAGTGAAGCACCTGAGGCAACTAATGCTGAGCTGTGCAAGGCCACCAGGATGAAGCAGCGAGTGAAAGGAGTGGCAGCTCCCTGCTGCAGAGGACAGAGGCACCCATCTGCTGACCAGACCTGTTGTCTAGAGAAGGTTGCTGCCTGCCAGGGCTTGGATCTGGAACATTGTGAAGGGAGTGCTGAAGCTTGTCCAGCCCTTGCTGTTCTTCCATGCGGGGACTGCCAGGGGCAACCGAGTGAAGGGAAAGCGTGTAAGCAGGAGAGCACTGATACTGCACGTCAACAGTTGATTGCAGAGTTGGTGATGGCAAGAGGGTTTGAGTTTCTCCAGCTGTGGGACCTTGTTTGAGGATCAGCATCTACTTAGGAGAAATGGGATCCACCTCAGTAAGCAGAACAACAGTGTGTTTGCCAGCAGGATGGCTGATCGGGTAAGGAGGGCTCTAAACGAGGGGCAGTGTGGAAGTTACCAGCAGCCCTGTGAGGGAGTGATGGACAGGGCTGACAAGCAAAAGGCCTGCTGTGATGTGAAAGAAAGGGAATGCAAAATCAAAGAAACAGGTTTTAACTGGTGTCAAAAACATTTGCATGTAAGGAAGGAAGCGCCTGTAAGGCACCATTACGGAAAAAGCCGCCAGACAGACCCCTTTGGCAAAATCAGCATGCTGGGGCATCTGTACAGGTGCACTGAAGTGTCTGTACATTAGTGCATGCAGCAGAAGGAATCAACATGAGAAACTGGAGATCTGTGTGTTGTGGCAGGGTTATGATCTTGCTGGAGCCACAGAGACGTGGTGGGATGGCTCCCATGACTGGAGTCCTGCAGTGGAGGGACACAGACTCTTTAGGAAGGACAGGCTGGACAGACAAGGAGGTGGAGGTGTCCTTAATGTGAGAGCACAGCTGGAATGCATTGAGCTCTGTCTGGGGGTGGATGATGAGTCAGCTGAGAGCTTCTGGGTAGGGATTTAAAAACAGACAGGTATGGGTGACATTGTATTGGGTGTCTGCTATAGGCTGCCTGACCTGGAAGAACAAGTAGATGAGGCCTTCTACAGACAGCTGGGAACAGCTTCACACTGACAGGCCGTGGTCCTCATGGGGGACTTCAGCCACCCCAGTGTTTGCTGAGCGACAACGTGGCAGGACATAACCAATCCAGGAGGTTCCTGGAGAGCATCGCTGACAACTTCCTGACCCAGGTGACAGAGGAATCAACGAGGAGGGGGTGCTCTGCTGGACCTCGTGCTCACGAACAAGGAAGTGCTTGTTGGAGATGTGACGGTAGAAAGCAGCCTTGGCTGCAGTGGCCATGAGATGGTGGAGTTGAGGATCCTCAGAGGAGGGAAGAGGGCAAAAGTCAAGATCACAGCCCTGTACATCAGGAGAAGAGACTTTGGCCTCTTCAGGGATCTGCTTGGTAGAGTCCCATGCAATAAGGTCCTGGAGGGAAGAGAGGCCCAAGAAAGCTGGTTGATATTGAAGGATCACTACCTCCAAGCTCAAGAGCAGTCAATCCCAATGAGCAGGAACTCAGGCAAAAGATGCCAGGAGGCCTGCACGGATGAACAAGGAGCTCTTCCCAAACTCAAACACAAAAAGGAAACCTACAGAAGGTGGAAGCAGGGAGAGGTAACCCAAGAGGAATATAGAAACACTGAGCATGCAGGGACAGGGTTATGAAAGCCAAAGCCAAACTGGAGTGGAATCTGGTGAGGGATGTCCAAGTCAACAGAAGGGCTTCTTGTAAGTACATAGGTGGCAAAAGGAAGAGTAGGGAAAATGTGGCCCCATTGCTGAAAGGGGCAGTGATCCTGGTGACAACAGGACATGTAAGTATAAAAGGCTGAGGTACTGAATGCCTTCTTTACCTCAGTCTTTACTAGCAAGACCAGCATTCAGGAATCCCAGGTCCCAGAGACTAAGGAGAAAGGCTGGAGGAAGATGTACCCTTGGTGGACAAGGATCCAGTCAGGGAATACTTAATAAGCAAACTGGACATAGATCATGGCTCTGATAAGATGCACCCTTGAGTGAGGAGGGAGCTGGCTCATGTCTTTCTGAGGCCACTCTTGATAATCTTTGAATTATTGTGGTGATTGGGAAAGGTGCCTGAGGACTAGAGGAAAGCAAATGTCACTCCTGTGTTCAAGACGGACCAGAAGAAGGACCCAGGGAACTACAGGCCAGTCAACCTCACCTCGATCCCTGGGGTTCTATGTCCAGTTCTGGGCTCCCAAGTACAAGAGAGACATGGACGTACTGGAGAGTGTTGAAGAAATGGCCACGGAGATGGTGAAGGGACAGGAGCATCTCTCCTGTGAGGAGAGGCTGAGAGAGCTGGCACTGTTCACCCTGGAGGCTCAGGGGGACCTCATCAATGTATATAAATACCTGATGGGAGGGTGCAAAGAGGACGGAGCCAGGCTCTCTTCAGTGGTGTCTGGTGACAGGACCAGAGGCAATGGACAAAAGCCGTCTGGACTGCTACAGCTGTCAGACCACCTTAAAATATTGAGGATGTGACGATCTTCACCTGCTGTTTTGCAGTCTTTTGGGAATTAAAAGCCAAAATGAAAGTGCTTACTTTTAGTCTTATGCGTTGATCTAAACTTGTCAGCCACGTGCCGTTTGCGTAGTCAGGTGGAAGGTGTAAAGTGATGGATTTAACTACTGTGTTTGTGGTCCTGACACATCTGGCCAATATTTCACAGTGAAAACATCCATGGCATAGGTATTACCTTTTACAGGTAACACATAAGCTATCAATGACAAAAATTACTTCTGTTTAAACATAAAGCATGTTGGAGATGACTTCCACTAGTTCCGAAAAATTCTGTTATGCTAAGCACGGTGTTCCCTAACCACTGATGAGCATTTCATTTTGGTATAATGACTGTTTGAGAGCACTGCGTGTAGGCTTTCTTAAAGGCAGCTATTACATGTATGCCAGGCATGGTTTTACGTAGGCCTTGGGTAGCGTGAGAGTGTTACAGATGTGAAAATCACGTCGATGTTGTGTTTTCTTTTTTTGCTTGAATGCCACCTGCTGTTTTCTCGCCATGTATTTTGCATTACCTTCCATTTATTTAGCTGATGAACGCTTCAGGGAGAGCTTGTTTAGTGCTTTGGCTCCTCTCAGAATCTTCCAAAAACAAACTGAATGAAGAGATGTTAAATGAACATTCAGTCTCATGACATAAACATCACGGGTGATCAGTCCTCCAGCACTTTGGCTCTCCCTTATCTTTTGTAGTGATTTGCTTTGTTTTGTTAAAGCATAGATCTGGAGAGACTCCAAAGTCTGGTTCATCCCAGATGAGAACAGTTTCTTTGATGCTATTATTTGTTCAAAACCACCAACAACAAACCCAGACATGTCTGCTCTCCTCCCTCCTAGAGAAAAGCAAAACCCTTCCTTACTGCAGTGCGGGCAGCAGAGGGGGAGCCGCCCCTGTGAACTCACTTCCACTGCTTACATGTACTGCTTCAGCGTGCTGAGCGTGCCTGGCGTACACAAGCTGTCTTAGGCAGATGCCATGGCAGGAGGACCTGTCAATATGGAATAATTCCATAATGGAACTTCCTGGGTATATGCACGGTAAAAAAAATGCTGCTATTTAGGATGGGCTTTTACCTGAATGTATTATGAAATCCAACTCTGATAGAATTGAGACAAAGAATTGTCTCAAATTGAGAGGGCTTCCTACTACCCATTAAAAAAATAAAAAAACCACAACACGAAACTTTGATTTTGCTTTGCAGTCAGAAATTTTTGTCAGTAATAAGCAAGAGGCAGTAGCTTTTTTAATATGTACAGAAGGAAATTCACTGGAGTTGAACAATTCCTGGTCTTTTCCTGTCTGCTTTCCCTTTGCAGTGCATTCACCCTACCTTTTGTTGCTTGTGAAGGTCTAGTGACCTTGGCCCAAGTCGGCTGTTGTATAAATTGCAGGTTTTCAGTTGCCAAAGAGTTCCCGTTTCTTGTTCTTTTTCTCTTCCCTTTCCACAGCAGTTTTAGAGCTTTTTCACCATCAACCATGTGAATCTGCACTCCTTTCTCTTGATGGTTTCTGGCCATTTTAGCTGGTACTAGAATTGTTTTGT